ACAGAAGTGAAATGCAAACAGCTCTGTGGAAGCTTAGTAAAAAAAGAAACACGAATGTATGCACATTTAACATCTGTCTCCATGCATTTACACAAACACACACACACACACACACACACACACACACATCGTCTACTTAAGCAACATCTGTTTGTGCATTCAGGCTGGATGTTTCAAAGGCAGTTTCAAAACAAACACCCGTCTTCTGAAGCATATCATACATTTATAATAATAGAAACTTCTGCTTTTGTTCTGTGTGTGTGTGTGTGTGTGTGTGTGTGTGTGTGTGTGTGTGTGTGTGTGTGTGTGTGTGTGTGTGTGTGTTTGTGTGTGTGTGTGAAGACTGAGAAAGATGCAAAGATCTCTGGTACGCAGGGATATTGTGTGTATCGCAGTTTAAATTACTGTATTTCCAAAATGTCCTCAATTTAAACTAGACTTTTTTGTGAAATTGTCATAGTTCGAATTTTTGTGAAGTCGGTGACCCAACAGTTAATGTGGATTAAAGGATATATTCAAAATGTCTGTCCTAAAACAAAGCTCACATCTATATGATATAAGAGATGGTATAGTCGCTGTAATCATTTATTTTGTTCATCATGTTCCTTGAGTAATAGGTTTATAAAATAATTTCAATGTGTGTTTTTATCTATCTTGTACATTGTATTAAGCCATATTACATTTTACAAATGAAAAGAAAGGCAAAGTTACTTAAGGTAGGCCTACTATGAACGCAAAGTTAGAAGGAAAAGAAAATTGGGGGGCATCAGATGGCTGAAAGTCAAACTGTGCACGAAAGCAATTTCTATTTTCGTCAAAGTTAATATGAAGGTTAAGTAGATAGAGGGAAAACAAGTGAATTTCATCATACGTTGTTCTGAGATACTTGTGAGACACCAAACGAAAAAGTAATGCACTTTAATGTAAACTTTATTTGATTTGTCCAGCTCAGACTGCTAAAACCTCAAATAAGCTTTAGTGAATTTTGTCCCCATCACTTAAACTTCTTCAAAAAGACATTTGGACTGAGACTGCTTTTGAAAAACATTTGGACTGAAACTGCTTTAAAAAGAGATTTGGACTGAAACTGCTTTTGAAAAACATTTGGACTGAAACTGCTTTAAAAAGAGATTTGTTTCTGTCCAGTTTGGACGAGAGTGATGAATGCAACAGACACAAAACAATTGAAAAAACAAAAAGCTGAAGAAAATACGTGTATCGCTCCTTTAATCCAACATGGATGTCAGCCAAAACGCCTCACTGTGATACTAGTGTACACTTTTGGCCCCTTCACCCGCCCCTGCGCACCTGCACCTCGGGGCGTTCCTGGGCTCGTGCGCTCAGAAGCGCAGCGCGCGGCGGCAGGCTGCAGCGACCTGTCTCTTTAAATTGGTGTCAAAGCCGATTACCGCTGATCTCCATCGTGATTCTGTTTTCACCGTCTGTTCCCTCAATCTATTTCTGTTTTGCGTCGCTGCCGGGACGATAAGCTTTCTCGTTTTGATACATTTTCGCAGAGCCCGGTAACTCCTGCAAACTTTGGAGCATGCTGAAGTGTTTCCTGCAGGCTCTGCTTTTTCTGGGAAAGCCGACATTACAGATCTAATAGCTGTAATCTGGCAGTGAACTGCTGAGTGTGATGTGAGCTGCACCGCGGACTAACTTTTTGTACCATGGTAAACCTGGATTACCTTTCCTGCTAACGGAGTTTTGAAGCGCGTTCTACCCACGGCAGTGAGCGCCTAGTGGGGATGTGATGTGATGCCTCGGGTTACTGTTTGAAAGTTGGCACCTAAAATCAAAATCAAAATCCGGGTGGACATAAAATGCAGAAGGGCGTGCGGTACAACGAGGGCCACGCTCTGTTTCTGTCTGTGGTTGCCCGTAAAGAGGGCTCAAAGCGCGGCTTCCTGAGCAAGAAGACCACGGAGAACAGCCGCTGGACCGAGAAGTACTTCGCCCTCTACCAGAACGTGCTCTTCTACTTCGAGAACGACCAGAGCTCGAGACCCTCCGGGATATACCTGCTGGAGGGATGCACGTGCGAGCGGGCACCTGCACCCAAAGTCTCCGCCATCAGCAAGGAGCCGGTGGAGAAACAGCAGGTGAGCCCCACTAAAGAGAGCGGGAGACAGGGCGCAGTGGAGATGGAGCAGTTACAAATTAAATAAGGGTGCTGTTGTATTCCTTTGTGATTTAGGTAATGAAGCTATTCCTTTTTCTTTTTAAATAAATGTTTCCTCTTGAGCCTAATTTTGCCTCCTTTCGGACTTTGTATGCATTGATCTGTGTTTGTTTCCACTTCTACAATAGTATTTCCTCTACATTCAGAATGCACATTTTCAGCACTTCTGTGATTCTGACAAATTCATTTAAGTGCAAAGCAGCCAGGAACCCAACATACAAGAAAAGGACATGCACTACTATAAAATGTATCTTCAGTGACAATTATTCAAAAATATTATTAGAGAACAGTTAAAGGTTGTGAAATAGTTTCACTATAATACATAGGTAAAAACAGAATAATAATGTAAGAAAAGTATCATACCGTTTGTTTATACGCCTTCGTCTTTAAAAGCCTAGAGTTTTACATTTTTAATCAATACAAATGTGAATTATTTACAATATCAAAAAAGTGTTACGGTCTACACAGACTTCAATAAAATATTTTATCAGCTAGTGTCTACCTGATTAAAAACTCTGTATTGTAGTTTCATGTTACTTTTGGTTTAAAGTATTTTCCTACAAATTACTTCTATCTAAACCGGTGCTGTTTCAGTTTTGGTCCACTGATTATTTGAAAAAACATTTGAGCTCTAAGGTTAACTTGATCCTCCTCTATTGATTTTATACAGACTTCTCTTACAACTTCATGTTCTGCAGTATAGTCATTTACATAATACGTTCCTGAACACATCTCACCAGTCTCTTGTATTGCTGTGAGATCCTGTACTCTGTATCGTGTGCAAAGTAACACGTCCTATATAAAAATTGTCTGTATAGATGTAGACATAAAGGGCCTGATACTATTGATACACTTGAGTTGTCAACACAGTTAGCACCTATGAAAATATCTGTTCTCTGAGAGCTAATTTTAAATGACCCATATTGTGCTGCTGATGTGGTTCATCTCATTAGCAGCAGGCGTGATATAGACGAGTGTATATTTTCAAAACTATAATAGCACTTAGATTATATGGGTTGAATCTAATTTTCTCATCAAAATGCAGGTTATCTGTCATGCTTCTTGGGAGAAATGCTGCTTACGACACCCCGACTCAGTCATGACTTCACATTTTTTAGGGGCAGAATAAAACCATATATGCTTTTTGGACATTGTCCGCCTACACTTTGTTCCCATTTCTGGGGTGATTCTTTTGCAAGTACAGAGTTACATTTGTCATTGAAACTGCCTTAATAAGTCTGTTCTCAAGTCTATTTCATTTTATTGACATTTTAAACTGTGAGAGATCGTGAAGAGAACACAAATACGTTCCTACCTTATTAATGAAAAATAAGACTCAGCCTATCACTACAAAACATATTGCAGTTATGTAATGAATATTGTTTTTAAAATGTCCTTTTATATTGTTATTGAAGAGAGTCTGACAAGGGAGTTTCTTTAATTGTATTCATACCTCATAGTTTTATTTCATTTCAGGCTTCCCCCTGTGAGACCTGTTTATATAAAAGAGATTACATCTTTTTGTGTGCACTACAGGTTATAAAGATTTTTGTCTATAAAGAACGATATTCCTGTCTCTGTATCGGAGCTTTATTTTCCTCATCACAATCCAACATGAGCTAATGGGTCCAATATGTCAGTACATGGATTACTGTTGGGGATTTATCACTGCCTTTAGCAAAGAGTGCATCCCTTTTTTAAATTCCCTTTTATACATATTTAAAATGTGTTGGGGGCTTTATATTATAGTGGAGACTAAGTTACAAAGGCTCAACTAGGTGATTTGGATGTGTGCTGTCATGGCCTGGCTCTTAGCCATAACAAACGCGTGGAGAAGGACGAGTATATATAGGAAAAAGGTATTTAATATATATTATAAAGCTCAATGTGGCCGAAGCCAAACAAAAAGACAAAGCAAAGAAAGAATAGGCAACGTGGCTGCTCTCTCAGGTCCGGTCCTCTGCAGGGGAGAGAGATCAAGAATCTGGCTCCGGCCTCTTAAACCTCCGGTGCCATCCGTCAGGTGTCCTCCGTCAGTGCAAGCAGGGTCGTCACAGTGCTAAAATGTAGTCTGCATCACATCAGAAAGCAAAGCTGCTGTTACGTTAGCACCTCTGACAATATTTCTCTGTAACATTGACATACTGCTAATTTCCCTCATGCCCAGCCATATTGTGAAAATCAATGTCTCTGCTGAAATTAAATGTTTAAATTGGTAAACACTGTCCAACAGGGATGCTTCTCATCATTGCAATATAGAGTGAAAATCTCATAACTATTGGATAGATTGGCGCATCATTTTGTAAAGACACTCATATTCTCCAGAAAACTAATTGAGATGACTTTAGTGGTCCTTACCAACTATTGGATTAATCGACATGAAACTTAGCAAAGACAATCAGACACAAAAGGCTTCATACAACAGACACTTTTCCCATATTTGCATTAAACCCTGGAAAACACTTGAACTTGCAGAGCGTTCAAAGGAACTAATAACAGTTGGGAGAGTCCTGCTTCTTTAGAAGGAAGAATAAGAAGTTAAATTCTCCCCCCCCACCCAAATATGTTCGTACAAACCGAAAAGGCACACTTTGGGGAAACCTCAAATTCATCTTTTTTTTTTCAACACCTAAAAATCCCCTTAGAAATTCAGTCTGGGTTTATCGTCTGTACATCTTTTCATCCCCACTTGAGAGCAATCACTGTATTCTCAGCAGAGTCGGTATGTGTCCATTGTAGTTTCCCTGCAGCAACACCTGGTCCTTTCTGCCGCAGAGAAACACTCATAACTGCATTAAGGAGTTTTCAGTAATTGTACTTGGCCGGGAAAAGAAAAAGGAGGGCAGTTTTTACTCCAAATACCCAGTTTGCCTCTGGTTGTTTTTTTTTGCACATTGTTCATTTGTTTCATAATGAAAAAAATGTTCTTTTAAAAAGGCCTGTAATGAAACTTTAATTACAGGCCTTTTTAAAAGAACATTTTCCCAGAGTAGAGTGTTTTGCGTTGTTGGATTTTTGCAGCTCACATGTAAAACCTGTTACCAGATAGGTATCGTTAGCAGGAGGCAGACGAAGAAGAGTGAAATCTGTCAGTATCATTTTAAACACGCACACTTGTACAGAGCAGATTGTGTGTGATGTCATGTTTCATAATGCAACATAGAGATCATGAACCATTACGAGTAGAAGTTATTCCTCTTTCTTCATGTAGATTTCAGGGTTCCTTTTTTGTTAGGCCATGTAAAAACATCTCCTCATATAAAGTCATTTGTATTGGTATCTTAAAAACTTCTAAAACAAGTAGAAACAATTCCTCTGTTAATGCAATAAGACTGCCTAAATGAGTTTCAAAATAATTAAACTCACTTAGAGAATGTACTGCTGAAAATAAAGAACACAGTCACTAGAAACAAATGATATGAATGTAGACTTCAGACAACAATTTGATTTGCATTTGGAGTTGCAAATGCTTGTTTTAAGATAATTCAAAGACGGACTTACAGTTAAGGAAAGAAGTTTTCATGAGCTGCAACCAATAAGAGAAGGATTTTCAGCATCTGTAACGGCTCTTTTTTTGGTGTTTCTAGGACAGAGGTGGGTAAGGCTGACCCATGCACGGTGAAAGTTTGGCATTAGAGGTGCGGGGGGGCTGTCTGCTCTGAGGTCAGCGCTGCCAGCAGGAAACCAGAGGGGACAGTACAAACAAGCCAGATTCAACAACTTCTAAAGTAGTCCTTTAATAAGGCTTCAGGTCAGGTTAGGTTAGAAAAGTACAATGACCTGTTGTCTGAAGGCCAAAGTGTTTCACTTCTGGTGGGAGTGAAAGGAGTGATACAAGTTTGTACACATGAAAAGTGATAGTAGTTCATGCACAATACTACCACTTATGAAACAGCACAGCCCTTCCACTAAATCGAATGCAAACATTTTTCACAGTACTTTGACATTGTTATTGTATTCCCATTTTTGTATATTTACATTTCCTGTTAACATGTTTTAATGATTTTTTAAATACATTTTATTATATGTATTTAACATCTGCTCTTAGTTTTCATCTTAATTAATCAAATTCCTTGTATGTGTAAACCGGAGTTGGTTCTGATTCTTTCTTAATGTATTGTTTATTCCTTAACAATCAGAAATCTGAAAATTCACATCACAATTATTCCTAAACTCCAGATGACTTCATCAAATGTCTTGTTTTGTCCAAGCAAAAGGAAAATAAAATATCTATAAGGCATAATGCAGCAAAAGCCTCTGAGGAACCATCAAATGTTTGGCATTTTTACGATTAATCCATTATCAAAGTAGTTGCAGATTCATTTTTGAATCAACTGACTGTAGGAGCTACTGAGAATACAGCTGTAAGAACATGAATACTTTAATTAACTTTTAATTGACATTTTACCATAGTTTTTATGCTGAGAGATGCAGTTCTGTGTCAGAAGAATCTCATCTAACATCCAGCCTAACAGCAGCCTCTCTAGATTCACGACACAGACGCACTCATTGTTTGATCTCCGGCTGATGGAGGCCAGTGTGAGCTCAATCTAAAGCCCGTTTCTAATGCAGCGACATTAAAGTCGGATAAGACATCAGACAGCATCAAAGTACTCTTGTGAAATTGGTAACTCGGCTCATTTGATGTCCAGTCTCTGCACAGATATGAAATATTCAGTGTCCTGTTTCTGTGGCTGGTCATAATAAGGCTGTTCATTAACATGTCTGTGATCAGGTCTGTGATGTCTTCAGTGTTCCTCTCGTCCTTATTTTATTTGCAGTTAGATTTGAACTACTGAGAGTGAGTGACTTTAATGAGGAATTATTTATTTTAGCAAATAAAAGCCATAAAAATACAAATATAATAGGAAACGGTCCACCTAACAGTGAGTTAGTCACTTCACAATGGTTACATTTAGA